GTGTGCGCACGCGTGTGTGCGTGTGTGTTTGTGCAAGAGAAAGGGATAGAGGGAATAGAAGACAGAAAGACAGAGACCCAGATAGAGGGACAGAGCCAGAGAGAGAAGAAGCCAAATAGGAAGAGACATGGATTTATTAGGTGGTTTACTCTGCTGAAGTGTTTCTGTGAATGAAAAATTTGAGAATCTTTGAAAAATCAATCTAGTTAATTTGGGACTAAAAAAACAATCAACATAGGTTTCCATCAATTATCCAGACCGGGCCATGTCTATACAGTCCAAATTCATTATGTACATGCCATCCCTGCCCTTCATTTTGTCTCATGTAGACCTGACTATAATTAGATTGACTTATTGTGATAACGTGTGTTGAGAGAGATGGAGGTTTTACATTCGACACCATGAACAGCTTTTATTGAGGCAGGAAAAATGTTGTCTTAATTCAGTTCAGTGGGTTTAAAAATCAATTATGCAAGCATTGATTAAAACATCAAAGAGGCACTTAGATAGGCATACACATCTCTGAAAATACACACTGGCATGGCCCACATGTCTTTCATTGTTCAGCTTCAGAGCCTTAAATATACGAATGGTTTTTATATTTTTAGGTATACCAGAATGTTCAATTAGAATAAAGCACGAACCAAAATTGTCCCCAAGAATAAGGGCTTTAGAGCTTCCAAGTCGTATTCCACCATAGGCTAAAACAATCTCCACTCACACAGAACAGTGCAAAACAAATTTCATTGGATGGACCATATGGCCTCTCAGTTTAACTGTGCATGTTAAGATAGCAAGGACAATTAAGACAGTCATTGATTCAGAACTCCATAAATCAATACCACATTTCTTTTTAAAATGTAACAATTAATGAAAGGAAAAAAAATCTTCACAACAGCACAAAATGTCCATCTGCTCCCCAACTCATTCTGCATATAATTCTTGGGGTTTATGAGATCTGAAAATAATTCCAGTTGAAGTCATTCATCTCATTGTGGCAGCTGCAAATTCACTTGCTCCAGAAGCAATCTAATCTTATATCTGCACAATTATTTTTAATGGCTGAATTAATGTAGTAACCACTTGTATTTGGAAATCCATCTTGGTTGCATTATCAGGACCATGGACAATGGGCAAGTTGCTAGAGGATTCAGTGATTTACAAAAAACATAATGGTCTTAGACATTTATGATTACAATGAGAACAATGTTGTAAGTAATCTAAGCTATTCATGATAACTTATTTTAAAAGATGGAAAGGGACATATTTGAAAGAAACAAGTTAGAGGCCATCTTTTAGGAAGCAATATGGAAAGCACCTAGTAGAATACCATGAGAGGAGCTAGAATTTTATACACGTACTTAGGGGTGGAGGAGCAGGTAATGTATTTTTAAAGCCTCTCCCTTTTGGATAAGAAAACACTAGATTTCTACAGGTTCACAGATATTTGATGACGAGAATTGTAAACATGACTTTTATTTAGGCTCAGCTTCAAAACAGTCATAAGGCAGCAATATTCAAAACTTGTTCCCTCTTTTTTTTTCTCTTCCCTCTCTATCCCTTTTCCTTCTCCCACCCCCTCCTGCCCTATAAAATAATGTGTACATTGGGCTCTCCTCAAGACTATCACAAAAAATAAGACAATTTTTCAAACATCTCTCAGGATTATAAAACCAAATTCTTGATACCTTGCCAGGAAGCCATGAAAAAACATCACACCACACACCCACACCCACACACCCCCCCTCCCCCAGAGCAAATGAATCCTAACCCTCTCCCTCGTTATGGACCAAGTTCTAGGAGAGAGAACTAAAGTCCATGGAAACCTTCTGCTCCTGGGACTCAGTTTGGAAAGGGGGAAGGTGATAAGGGCAGCCTGGGCTTTTCCTCTGCAAGCTGGATTGACTGCAGTCCCTTCAGGAGCCACTGAATGGGAAAACTCTCAGAAAATTCTCTGCGTTTTCCAGTAGATGTCCTCACAAGGCAACAGTGCCAGGGAGACCTGATAGAACACAGTGAAGTGTGCGGTTTGGTTGGTAGCTGGGAGAAGGGGCAGGTGTTGGATCATAGGATTTAGACCTGGGAGGAACCTTGAGAGCATCTGATTTAATCTCATTTTACAGAGGAGGAAACTACAACTCACTGAAGTTAAATGACTGGCCCAAGGTCATAGGGGTTATAAGTAGCATAGGAGGGATTCAAATTCATTCTTCTGATTTCAAATCCAGTGTTCTTTCAACAATACTATGCAACCTCTAAATAATAACCAAATCTATAAGAGGTATGGAGTGAGGAGAAAAGAACAACAAAAAACTTGGGCCTGGGATGAGATTACAAAGTGGAAAACAACCTAATATTTACTTTGCATTTTTAACCCTGATGAGCCAATCATAAAATCAACAGGGTAAGAAAACAATGAAATGGGGTGCTATAATTGGCCGTGGCCTGTGAGATTAGCAATAGGTCTTTCGGGGCACTAGAAATGTCCAAAATAGAAGATTCTAAGGAGGATGTTGCATCATTCTTATAGACTGGACCACTTGAAAAAGAAAAAAAAAAGGAACCTGTCATATTTCAGCTTGATTGCAGGACAGAATGTGACAGCAAATTCCCGAGGCACCAGAGAGCCTTGTCACTGAGCTCTCACAGGCACAGACTGTCTACAGATCTGATGATGCTTTCGTCCGCCCTCCTTTTCAGAAGCCGGGGTAATTGGATGAAACTCAGCCATCCTATCAAAGAGCCTGGGCAGCATATATCCTGCCCCAGCTTTCCTGGGAAAACTGAAAGCAGATGAATCTTTAAACAACAAAGCTTGTGCGTGCATGAGATAATGGTCTAAGTTTTAGCAGCATAGTAAAATATTTATCTTACTTCACTGTATCTAGCAAACAATCAATCTATGACACTGGTAGTTTGCAAAATATCAAAACATATTTGATTATAGCTTGCCTGAATTACTCAAATATCTAAAAATATAGACTAGGTCATATCATCCTGGGATGGTGAAGGACATTCAAGCTTCCAGAAAGCAAATCTTGGGACCAATAGGAAGGGGACAGCCAGTGTAAACACAGATGCATTTAATCCTCAGGCCCTTACTTCTCCTCTTAACCACAGTGCAGGGGGGCAGTATCCCTCAAGGCAGGCTGCACGAACTAAGATTCACTTACCCCGGAGAAATGGCTCTTTCGATAACGGTCCAAGTTTTAATAGCATAGTAAATCCTGAATAGCCATGCTCACTTGAAAGCAGAGTTTGATAAATAATGTAGTGGTTGGTTAGTGGAGAAGGTAGAGGAGAGGGATAAGGATAGAGGGGAGAAAAAAAGGCATTCTATGAATATCCTATACATGAGGATAAGGACTCATTGTTATTCTGCAGGGACTCTCCCAATAAGGTCCCAGAAAAATCACAGAACTCTTGAACGTTAGAACTGGCAGAAATCTTAGAAATACTCTAGTCTAGATAGGAAAATGAAGGTTAGGCAAGTAAAACTGACCTACCCATGGTCATACACCATAACTCAGGCCTCCCAGATGTTAATTCAGAATTCTTTCCATCACTAATTAGTTAATTAGATAGTTAACATTTCTATCATGCTTTAAAAGGTTCAAAGCACTCTACATATATTATCTCATTTGATCCTCACAACAACCCTGTGTGGTAGGTGTTATTTATTATTACCCTCCTTTTGCAGATGAGGAAACTGAGGCTGAGAGGTTGAATGACTTGTCTAGGTTCACACAGCTAGTAAGTGTCTGGGGCAGGATTTGAACTAAGACTTTACTTACTCCAGGGCCAAGGCTCTGTCCATGATGGCAGGCTGCTTCTCCATGCTGCCTTTGTCCTCTCACCTGTTTTTGGGAACCACATCAAGAAGGCACATTGTTTTATTTCTTCACAAAGAGTGAGTGGAGGTGATGGGTGGGCTTAAGTATTTGTGCAAAGACTCTTGTGGAATTGTGCCACCTTTTGATTAGGAGTGCCTCAGAATCACAGGATCTCAACGTAGAGGCATCTCTTCCAACCTGTGCCTGAAACTCTTCCACACCATCCCCAAACAACATTCACTGAGCCTCAGCCTAAACACCTCTGTTGAAGGGGAGCTCGTCTCCCAAGGCAGCCCATCACATTTTGACATAGCCCTAAATTGCTTCCACCTCTTCTTCATTCTTCCAAAGACAGGTGTACGAGTTTCTAGTCTGCAAGCAGGAAGGAGTGGTCAGGAGATCTAGGAAACCAGAAACTGCTCTTGTGATTTATCTTTTCTGTTTTCTACTTGCCAATGTAAAGAGTAAGAGTGGTGATAGTGGTGAGGGCACCACCAGTAAATACAGGATCACATATTCTCAGAGTGAGAGAAATCAAAAAGTATAATGTCATGAGAAGAGGAGAGATCTGGGTGTGGCTTCAATGCCAGCAGAGACAGCTTTGTTCCAGGACCCAAATTGTGCTTTTTTTTTTTCCCTTTTCTTCAGACCAGATGGTCATTTTTCTCCACTTTATATTAGCGGAAATGGCCTTATCCCATTAATTCAAAGTGTCTGAGCTTCTTGATCAATAATAAATGCATCTTGTCTTTTAGCCAGTCATACGGACAGAGAGCATTATTTTGAGCTTGCAGAATTTAATTTGTCCTGAGAAGAAATCATTGCAGGCATTATCATCTGAAGTGGAAGGCAAGTAGAGTACATGGCACAGTTCTCAATAACAAATTGGGTCCCCTGCAATTGCCCCTGAGTTGAATTTTTCCATAAACAAAATCCAATGTCCTCCCCAATCCCTGCCCCAAGTTATAAATTGAAAGGGATGAGTTGGTAATTTTCCTAATTCTACTCTGATTAATGGCCTAGTTAAAAGGAATGACCCCCTCAGGATCTCCACACACACTTCCCACAGGTCCCTTTGACTAACTCTTTGACACCTCTAATAGGTTCCCGTTTTCTTTCCTTTGCCCTCAGCACCCAGAACAGGATGAACAGAGAAGAAAGTCAATCTCCTGTTTGAACAACTCCTTTATCTTGGGTCTACAGCAGCATTGAACTTTACAAAATGCAAATACAAGTTAATTCCCTAAATAACAAGCCATAAGTAGACGATAGGTGCTAGGAAGTGGATGGAAGTCACCTTCCTACCAAAGAAACCTTCCCATCAATATGATACCATTCATTGATCTGATTCACTGTGGATCCAGGCTTATTCCCTGCCAGTCTTTTTCAACAACCACAAACCTTTCACTGGTCCTCCTGATGATTTTATCCTTTAGGCTTTATAAGGATAACTTTACGTAGATCCAGAGAAATGGAGGATGGCATTTTTATTGGATGTCCACTGGAAATCTCACCCACAGTGGGGAGTGACTAATCCCCGGCAGGCATGGCACAACACAATACCTAATCTAACTATTTAACAGAAGATTAAATGATAAGTAATGTGATAAAACCCAGGGTATTATAGGTACCACCTATCCATAGATAATAAAGTTGAATGGTTGAGAAATGATAACATTGTCCATTGGTTTCAGTTTGATAACTGTCCTTCAACAAAACTGAACTTGGAAAGTCACAACTGAAAAAAACTGCAGCACTTCTCATCGATACCAACACAACTGTAACACATACTACAGTGTGGTATGTAAATCCACAGCTGGTCTTTTTTTTCTTCTTTTTCTCTTAAATTTTTTTTTTATTAATAAACAGAATGGAAATTGTCTGATTCAAATATTAGTAGTACAACACTTAAATGTATTTCAATCTGGCCACAAAATATCATAAACCCTTAACCAGTGCGTATTACAACAATGGAGAACACAGAGTGTGGCATTTATATCCCATGATCTTTCTTCTACTGCAATAAAGATTTAGAAATGTGACTCCAGCTGCTGGGAAATTCCCACTTGCCCAAGGCTTCAGAAAACGGGACTGTTGGTATCAATCTCAGTTTTTATTAAGGGTGGGAGGGGAGGAAAAATTGGGGAAAGGGAAGGAAAGTCAAATAAGACAAAATTATGAGCTTTAGGACCTGCCCCCAAATGCCCCCTGAAATCGATCCATCTACTTTCTAGACGTTCATTTAATCCACAACAGGGTGTCCTCACCACCGAGGCCATGATGGAATTAGAATATGGAGTGTTGGGAAGATCTCTTTTGTTGGCTTCCACACCTGATCTTGAGAGTAGCAAAGTCCTTGGAAAAGTGCACTGCGCCTCCCCCCACCCCCGTGCCAATGGTCCATATTGGTCAGACTGAGCTGAGCTTTACAAGGCCACGTACTGAGTCTTCATGCAATGAGTCTTGGCTGGCCAAGCTTAGGACATGCAGGGTGTGACTATGTGTGATAGGACTGCCTGTTGACAACATACCAGGGGGCGAGGGGGCTTCCTCTGGTGTAAGGAACTGATGGCCATCATGTTCCTCTTTCAATGGTATCATATCTGTCAAAACAGTTTCTGATGTGAGATTGGGCATGGAGGAGGGTGGTGTTGGTTGCCCCAGGGACAAGGTAGCACAGGGAGTGCCCAGTGTGGTCTTTCCTGGCAAAGGGAGCTCCTCACTGGTTAGGCTTGGTTCGCTCTGGAGCAACGGTGTAGCTGCAGCCTGCAAAACGAATTTGGTGCTCTGAATGCACTGATCTTGGTCACACTGGAGAGCAGGAGGCAGCCGGAAAATGCAGCAAGTTGGGGAAGTCGAAAGGTGCCAAGGCATGAGAAGAGAGTGAAGTGCAAGGGGACGAAAGGCATGGAGAGAATAGGATGTGAGAAGAGAAAAATCCATTAGTAATAATTCAGTTAGACAACTGCCAAAAAGCAATGCATGCACAGATATCCAGATTTCATTCTGGTTATTTATGGCAACACAGAGAACATTTATATCTGGAATCTAAATAATTCACTTTAATGAATACATCATAGACACCACTCCAGTAAATGTTATACAGTCAAAGTATATGACAATGGTAGCCTGTGTCCACCTACACAACCATCATTTCAAAATACATTCACTTAAACAATTGTCACTGCCTGGATCAGGGAACAGAGATGTCCTTTCATATGCTACAAATGATTTCCTTTTAAAATACAGTGAGAATAGCCATACCAGATATGAAATTGTATTATAAAGCAGCAATCATCAAAACTACTTGGTACTGGCTAAGAAATAGAGGGGTGGATCAGTGGAATAGGTTAGGTACACAAGATACAGTAGTAAATGACTATAGTAATCTACTGTTTGATAAACCCAAAGACTCCAGCTTTTGGGATAAGAACTTACTATTTGACAAAAACTATTGGGAAAACTAGAAAACAGTATGGCAGAAACTAGGCACAGACCAACATCTGATACCACACGCCAAATAAAGTCAAAATGGATATACAATTTAGATATAAAGCTGATACTATAAGCAAACTGTGAAAGCAAGAAATAGTTTACCTGTCAGATTTATGGAGAACAGAAGAATTTATGATCAAAAAAGAGACAGAGAACATTATGAAATGCAAAATGGATAATTTTGATTACATTAAATTGGAAAGTTTTTGCACAAAGCCAATGCAAGCAAGATGAGGAGGGAAACAGAAAAACAAAAGGGAAAGGGAAAGAATTTTTATAACCAGTGTCTCTGATAAAGGCCTCATTTCTAAAATATATAGAGAACTGAGTCAAATCTACAAGAATACAAGTATTATGCAATTGATAAATGGTTAAAGGATATGAATAGGCAGTTTTCTGAGGAAAAAATTAAAGCTATCTACAGTCATATGAAAAAATGCTTTAAATCACTACTGATTAGAGAAAAGCAAATCAAAACATCTCTGAGGTATCACACCACATCTATCAGATTGGCTAACATGACAAAAGAGGAAAATGCTAAATGCTGGGGAAGATGAGGGAAAATTGGAATACTAATGCATTTTGGTAGAGTTGTGAAATGATCCAACTATTTTGGAGAGCAATCTGGAACTATGCTCAAAGGGCTGTAAAACTGAGCATATCTTCTGACCCAGCAATACCACTTCTAGGTCTGTATCCCAAAGAGATCATACAAATGGGAAAAGGACCCACATGTACAAAAATATTCATAGTAGTTCTTTTTGTTGTGGCCAAGAATCAGAAATTGAGGGGGGAGGCCCATCAGTTGAGGAATGGCTGAACAAGTTGTGGTATATAAATGTGATGGAATACTATTGTGCTATAAGAAATGATGAGCAGGCAGACTTCAGAAAAACTGGAAAGACATGTATGGACTGATGCTGAGTGAAGTGAGCAGAACCAGGAAAACGTTGTACATGATAACAGATAACAGCCACATTGTTCAAAGACTAACTTTGACAGGCTTATCTCTTCTCAGCAATGCAAGGATTTAAGACATCTCCAAAAGACTCATGATGGAAAATGCTGTCCACATCCAGAAAAAGAACCAAGGAGTCTGAATGCAGATCGAAGCATATTATTCAGTCTCTTTTTTTTTTTCTTCTTTTTTTAAAAATTTCTTCTTTTGTCATGGTTTCTCCCATTGGTTCTAATTCTTCTTTACAACATGACTCATGTGAAAATAGGCTCTACATATACATTCATGTTAAACCTATCTCAAATTGCACACTGTCTTGGGGTGGGGGAAGGGGAGAGATGGGGAGAAAATTTGGAACTCACAATCTTAAGGAAATGAATGTTGAAACTAAAAATAAATAAATAAACTTCAAAAAATAAAATATATAGAGAGAACACAGGAAGGAATTGCACACATAGAGTAGCCTGGATGACTTGTGATCTTCATTGTTGGAGGGATGAGTTCACCCATCAATGAGATCACAGATCCACTGCAAAAAATGTCTTTAAAATTTGGAAGCTTCTGAATCCTAGGAATAGACTGTTCTCCATAAGCCCAAGAACAGTCTGCCGCTGAACTTTCATTATTGCCATCATCAACACCTCTGGTTTACTTAAAAATACATACTTAATGTATTATACGATTGAACATATATAACCTATATCAAATTGCTTACTGTCTTAGGGAGAGGGATATGATGAAGGGAGGGAGAAAATTTGGAACTCAAAATTTTTGAAAAATGAATTTTAAAAATTGTCTTAACATGTGATTGGAAAAAATAAAGTACTATATATACATATGTTTTATAAATATTGATTGATATTTTATATCATCAACATTTTTTCTAGTATCCCTTTTCCTCTCCCTTCCCTCTGATTCACTTTTAATTGCTTATAAGAATCTAAAAGTTTTATAGGATGAACCATTCTTTCCTTTAGACAGTCAAACTGTGACTTACTCTGAAGTCATAGGATTTCAGAGCTGGAAAAGACCTTAGAAATTATTTAGTCTAACTCCCTCATTTGACAGACTGGAAATTAAGAGTAAGATTAATGGAAGTGACATAGTCACATAGCTAGTTAATGGCAGAGCCAGGACTTAAGACTGGTAACTGTTATGGTCAATGAAATCAACCCTAATCATCAAATTTAGGGGTAGGGTGTAGGGAAGTATTTGAAGTGAAAATTCCAAGTAAGACCTTGACAAATAGCTCTATCCAGGCAGAGGGAAAATTAACTAAGAGGATCTCCAACTGGATGTCCCATAGACATTTCAAGCTCAACATATTCAAGGTGGAACTTGTCTTTCCTCCTAGTCTCATCCCTCTTCCTATGTTCCTTTTCCCATAGACCACATATCCATCCTCCCAGTCACTCAGTTTTAGATTCACTCTTCCTGACTTACTGTATCATTTACTAAGTCTCATCAATTCTACCTTTTCAAAACCTCTCATGGTCACCCCCATTTCTCCACTCATACAGCCACAATTCTTGGTCCAGCTCTCATTACCTCTTGTCTAGACCTCTTGTTTTAACTGGTTTCTTTGCCTCCAGTCTTTCCTTTTCCAAACATAGGACCAGAGATATAAATCTGGAAGGGACCTCGGTAGAGGTCATCTTTTCTAACTCCCTCATTTTACATTTGTGGACACTGAGCCACAGAGGTTAAGTAAGTAATTTGACCATGAGACTCGCCTGCTCAAGAAACTTCAGGTGCTTCCTCTTGTCTCTAGGACAAACTACAAACTCCTCCGTCTGGCATTTAAATACCTCATGGTCTGGCTCCAATGGGATCCTACCAGACTGATCGTGCATCACTCCCCAGCCTGGACTCTGACGTCTCAGACAAACTGGCTGACTTGCTGTTCCCTACAAATGACATTCCATCTCCTGACACTTCTCCTTTGCACAGTCCGTGCTTCATGTATGAAATGCAATCCTTCCTCATCTCCACCTCTTGGAATCCCTGGCTTGGGGTGGGGAACACACATGTGGCCAAAAGGCTGCTGGTTCCCCACCCCTGGATCAGCTCTAGGGCCACCTCCAACGGCAGATCCTTTCCTGATCTCCCCGTGCTCTCACACCCCATCTACACCAAATTACACTGTATTTATTTTGTATATATCATGCATGGTCCTCTTTTTCCTCTTCCCAGTCTCCTATATAGAGACTCAGTCCCTCAGGGCAGGGATTGTTTCATTTTTGTCTTTCTTTTTCCAGGGCAGTGCCTGGCACATTCTTATCATAGCACAAAACATGAAAAAAATACTTTTTCAATGTATGTCAGTGAAAAATCAACTCTTAGGGAAAAGCTGAGTTTTTCTCTTGTCCACTAATAGAAACAATAAACAACTCTCATTTACAGAGGGCCTCACAGACACCATATCACTTGATCTTTACAATAATTCACACTAATGGCTAACTTTCATATCATGTTTTAAGGCTTACAAAAGGGCTCTACATACATGATTTTATTGGATCCTCACAATGACCTTGTAAGGTGGGTGACATGAGTGGTTTTATTCTCATCTTGTAGATGAGGAAACTGAGGCAAACAGAAGCTAAGGGACTTTCCCAGAGCTAGGTAAATATTAACTGAGGCAAAATTTGAACTCAGGTCTTCCTGACTCCAAACCCAGCACTCTGTTCACTGTGCTACCTAGCTGTGAGGTAGGTGCTATTATTATCCCCATTTTACAGATGAGGAAATCTGAGATCCAGAAAGGTTAAGTGACTTACTTGGCTCAATAGCTAATAAATCAGAGCTATGACACTATATCATTTGATTCCAAGTCCACTGTACTTTCTACCACAGGACTCAACCTCACTGTGAAGGTGTGTGGGTATGAGGGGAAACAGGGTGAGGTCAAAGGGTCAAGCTTTACTTGACATTAATTTTACCTGTTTGATCTAAAATCAATGTACCATAGCTATATTTCTTCTTTTTTTTTTCCTTTTTGGTGAGGCAATTGGGGGTCACACAGCTAGTAATTGTCAAGTGTTTGGTCTGAGGCTGGGATTTGAACTCAGGTCTTCCTGACTTCAGGGCTGGTGCTCTACCCACTGTGCCACCTAGCTGCCCCCATAGCCATATTTCTTGAAGCCCACTGAGCCTCATAATCAAACGCCTGGTTTTCTTTTTCCTTGCAGGGAATTTCTGCCTCCATTCTTATACTTTCTAATGGAGGAATGAACACAGCCTCTTCAGTAGCTAAGCAGTTGACATTAAATCTAGTTTCTAGTTTCATGACAATATTATTATTATTTTTGGTAGA